TAATCCTAAATAGGGAGGTGAGCATAGTGTGGGCAAATTTAAAATCTAATTTTTTGATATTTGGTTTAAATTTTTGGATTATGAATTGTACTTCAAAGTTTATTTGTAAGAATTATGAATTTTGTATGGGATACGGATAAGGTACTATTGATTTTTAGATATTTAAAAATCTTAAATTATATACTTATATTCAATCCTACCCATATCATATGTTCTCTATACTAATATGTAATGACCTTCTAGGTTATTTTTGTGTTATTGCCTTCCTTTCATTGTTTAGAGTTTCTCTATAGAGAGAGTCAAACATTTATGACTTGCTAGGACTAACAGTTTGGTCACCTGATCATTCGTGTAGATATTATGCATGTTTTTTTTTATGTTTTGGATCTTTTGAAACTTGAACAGTTTACTTTGGTCAAAAGTTCTGGAAGATGGCCTAAGAATGCAATTTAGATGGTTCCATTATCTCCATAACATTGTGTTTTCTTAGAAGGACCTTTAGTGTGGATCCCCAAGCTTCCAGCCTCATCATGAGTCCTTATGGAATTTAGCTTAAAATTGAGTTTGGTTCTGGTACCCACTTTTAATCAAAACTACTTCGGTTAGAAGCTTTGATATCTTCATTGAGTCTGGAGTGTTTAATTAGGTGGAGTAACATATATCATTTAGTGCACGGGGGTTCGAACAAATTTGGAGCACCCCATTTGGGATTTTGAGCCTTGGTGTTTTTGGCTGATGCACCAGCTTCAGATTCAGGTGACTTTCTTCAGTGTGATAAGGAAGCCTCCAGAATCATGGAGGGCCCTACACCTAGAAAGGACAATAGGGTTGCCTCTAGGTTGCAATTGTGTAGTGTTATCCTATGGTTTTGACGACATTTGGTCATAACACTTATTTAAATTATGGGACGCAATCGCAACCCTCTCACCCTTCCCCCCCACGGTAATAATGTCTTATGTGACTGCATTTTTTAAAATAAAGACCAGTCTTGAATTCGGTAAAGGGCTAATATTATAGTTGCATATCTTGATCCATAGAGCTCCAATTTGTCTTATTTTTTTGGTGTATGTCCGAGAAGTTCATGGCTCCGTGTTGGAATGATTGGGGAATCTTGGGGAACCGTCACAATGGGTCTGCCTTGCTCTTGTTTTCGTGTTATTTTTGTGATATTCTTCCATGTGATTGTCAATTTCTTCCGAGTCAATTTCACAATTCTCGATGCGAGTCCCATAATCATGTTTTTACTCAATTTTTAGTTTGTCTCCAATTTTTGTGTTTTTGGTGTCAAAACATCTATATTCAAGTTGTGATTATGTTTTTGATAGAGTGCAAGCATTAAGCTTTGGAATTATAATTTTTGAGTGCGTGAGGTCTGCATTGAGGTAGGTTATGGCTTCCATGTAATGACCCTTGTGGTCATTTATTTATTTTTTTAAATTCTTTGACTTCTTTTTCCCTTCCCATATCTTTCTTGTAGATTTTTTGTGGTAATGAATTGGGTGGCACTCTTACCTAGTTGGTCGGGAGAGTTTTGTGTAAGTTTTACCCTTTTGGAGGTTCTTTAAGTGAAAGAGTATAGTTTAGTCAACATTCAGAAAATTTGATGTCGTATGAAATTTCTGACAATTCTATTAGCTTTAGAGTGTCCATTTTGGTCTAGTAGGATGGTTGGCTCGGTTTATGAGGCCTTAATTTTAAGATTGTGTTGTTAGGCATTTAACTTTGATATTTTTACCAAAGTTTAACTTCAGTAAACATTCATGGTAAATATGCTCATATGAGAACTCTATCATCACATTAGCTTCAGAATGCTAATTTTTGTCTAGAATGACCATTGGTTTGGTTCCCGAGGTCATCATAATGATTTTACGATGTTTTTCATCTTGTTATGTGTCTTCCTTGCAAATATTTACTTGGGTCAACATTCTGATGAAAAGACCTTCGTTTGTGGTTTCATCGATTTGGTTGCGCTTGGAATGTTGTTTTTGATTTGGTAACATAGTTCATTTGTTTCCATGGGGTTCTAATTGAATTTGAGCCCATATATGAGGATTTCATCAACTTGGATTCATGTTGGTGTAGCAAAAGTTCATTTTCCGCATTCAGGAGCCTTGGACGGGTTCACAATGTGTGCGGGCAAAAGCCTCTGCATTCGAGGGCATATTGTTGTGATCGCAAACGGGTTCGTGATGCCAACATACGCCTTTACGCAAACAAAATGCCTTACATTTATTAGTTATAACTTCATGAAATCATCATGCACTTCTTCTTTTAAGACTTGGATTTGAAGCAATTTTGAGAATAATTCTTGGAGTTTCTTGTAATTGTTGCTAGCTTGGGTCGAGAAATTGTGTAGGCACACTTTAGGATATGGGTATTGTGTTGGCATTCCTATCATGTTTTTGATAGCATTTCATCATTTTGAGGCCTTTCGGTATGTAAAAGCTCCAGAGTAAAGGTTCGAGTGTAGTTTCTTCCTTGAGGTAGGTTATGGTTTTCCGCTTTTAGACTTAGCATAATTCTATTAATATTTAAGTATGTTATTGTTATGAAGGCTTAGGATTAGACTTTAGGCCTACTTGATCCTTAGTTTATAATATTTTCCATGTGTTGGTAACTTAGAATTAGCATTTTAGTCGATGAGCCATAGTTAAGGTTGATTCTTAGCTTGGTTGTCGTTATGGATCCTTAAAATGCTCTTAAGTGGCGTGAAACTTAGATTTATGCGTGTTGGTTGCTTTTGTGTTTTGTGTGCCCTTTTTCATCATTTTTTTATTTATCACTTTATCAATTGAAAGGTTTTGGGCGTGAGGTCGTGGACTTGGACTGGCAGGAGTTTCATTTAGTATGAATGTGCTTTGATGGGTGTTTACCTGGTTGTGTGTGTGGTATGGTTGCTTTAAGAATGACTTGACCGTGTTGGCTTGAAATCATGTTTATGACATACTGATAGTATATTTGCATCTGGTTTTTATAAAAAGGTAGATTTTGGGACACTTACTTGTTTTACTACATTTCATACTAGTTTTAGCTATGAGGGAGCAGGATTACTGATTTTACTGATTTTATTGATGGAAACATGGTTTTTGGAAGGAAATACATTATTTTCACCTTCCCATATATATGTTGATAAGCTTCGGCGGCCAACAGACCGAATTGTGAGTTTTACTTTTATTACATTTGTAGTTGAGCTAAGGTAGGTTCCATGTTTGTCTTGGGCAGTCCACGGGACACCAAGCAAGATACTCCAGAACTCTTTACTTTGAACATGCATTGGCCATATGTGCATCACAACTCATTGTGTGTTTGTTTGCATGTGATTGTTTGACTTGTATGGTTAGAATTGTTGTTTTCTTTCTTGTCGGTAATGTGTGCTTACTTTTTGTCTTATATCAGACTCCATGTTAGAACTATAGTGTTTTTTATTTATATTTATGATCCTTCTGATCTCGGTTGGCCTATGAGGCCTACTGACTATACCATGTTTTGGTACTCATACTATATTTCTGCATCTTATCCTGATGCAACTCCCAGTACAAGCCACCCTCACTGTGTGTTAGATTCTCCGGTGGCTGTCACATACTTGGATAGTGGTGAGATCCTACCGACGAATGACTTTCCTGTTTCCCCTCTTATGTAAAGACTTGTATTTTGTATTTTGATTAGTGAGTTCCCTTGTATATATTTGTACTTAGTAGCTCATGTACAAATGACACCAGGTCCGGATTTGGTTTTTTGTTAGTTTGTCATTCTTGGTAACTTTCGAGCCTCTTTTGTATATCATGTATCGTATTTATAGTTCTATACTATTTCCCTATTATGTAGCTTTATTATTTTGGCTTCCACTTATTCCTTATTATTAAATTGTTATTTTTCTCTAGTTAGTTGGGTTTGGTTTGCTACTCGAGGGTTGTGGGTGTACCATCATGATTTAGTTTTGGGTTATGATAGCATGGTATCATAGCGTTAGGTTTAGCGGTCTTACCAATATAGGAGAAAGTGTCTAGTAGGGTCTCATGGATCTTTTTTTTTTTT